TCTGGTAAACAGCGGGACGTTAACCTCACCTCGGGGGGAAGCAGTGTGGAGATCCGCCAGCAGAACTGTGGGCACACCACGGGCTGAACTGCCGCTGGAGCCCAGCGAAGGGCACGTGGCTGCTGAAGGGCTGCAGCCCCAGCCTGCCTGGCACCGGGAACTGCGAACACCTCTCGTACCTCTGACACCGTGCTGCAGCCTCGCTCGCGCTCAAACACCTCAACAGTTCCGGGCCTTCTGCTGACCACTGTGCCAAATTCTACAATAGCTTTTTTTCAGGATAAGTGGCAAAGAAACCTAGAGCTTTTAAAGCAAGTATTTTGTCTAAAATTCCTTTTCTTAAACCATTTAGGGTAATTACAAGTAGCAAGGAGCTTATGTAACTCGTGACTTGCTGACAGATAATTCCCAGGAATGAGCACTAGATTAATGCAATCAATTGCGGTGCTGGGCAGGTCATCACGCTCTTCTCCTGTGCTACAGGAAACCTGAAGCAACCACCTTGTAACCTCTACTGATTTCTATTCCAGGCTTCTCACAAGCCAGCCCGCACGATAACGGCGATGCCTGCCACAATTCATTTAACTACACGAGCTCTCGGAGCTGCCAGCTTAGCTAACATCAGAGCAGCAACGCGAGGCGGTTACCTCGGTGGCCACGGGCCCTGACTGCTGAGCTCTCCTGCTCGGTGCCTTCGCTGATGGCAGCGCAGTTGGTCCTAACAGTAAGGGAGCGGAATCATGTCAAACTCACTTGGCATCATCTACACCAGTATCTATCTTTAGATCCCAGAAATAGCCGGTTTTGCACTTCCGTAACTGTTACCTGTATTTTAGGCAGCACAAATTACAGGCCCCCATTTTGTATGGGGCCTTGACCTCGCCCCATTTGAAGTCAATGGGTTTTAACTCATGAGCATAAGGGGAAACAGGTTCTAAAGCAGAGCAAGAAAAACCTTACTCTATCTTATTTTCATCTGACTTCCACACACCAAGCGTATGGCTGCAAGGCTGTAGCAACAGCATGCAATCAACACACCCGTGGTGATATCTCTTTGTGGGAGATAAATTTAAATTGTCAGGCCACGGCATGGAAATGCAACATTTGCGTTTTCCTATCGGGATGAGCCAGGACGTTGCACCTCAATCGCAAATCATGAGGTAATTAGGTGGAGAAGGAGTAGCTTGATCCACTGCAGAGTACTGTATGCTGCTATTTAGCGTTTTGAAAGGGTGCCCACAGCATCAGGAGGTGCAGTGGCGCCCAACAAAAGCTCCACGAGCGTTTCAACAATAGATATCACAATACAATTTCAGGGCTTGCAAACCTCAATATTCCTCATTGCTATGGATAACCTCATTCCCTTCGCTGTAGGCTGGGAGACCGACGCATCGTTTTCGCACGCTGGATCTCAGACTGGTGTATCCCGACTGATCCTGCCTCCTAGGTTCAAGTCAGCCCCACCACTCTCCTTGGTGTGCTCTGTCCTCCAAACATCCAGGCTTCCTTCATTTGTTTTTCCTCTTTATCTTTTCCTGTTTCACAGTGAGTCCATAGTTCCTTCATCATCGCCTGCTATTCCTTCCAGTAGCTCACTAAGGCTGTAACATCTGTCTTGTTTCATCCATTCTCACCCTCTTTCAACGGGGAGGGCTCTGTGCGCAGTTTCTGTTTTGGCAGGGTTTTCAGGTTTGGGTTTTTTTTTTGAAGCCAGCAGTATAAACGTTTTCCTCCCTGCAGATTGTGTGTTTAAATTAGGAAAAAGCAGATCGCTCTGCTCGTGGATGGGGGGAAGGGGAAAGATTTATGGCATTTCTGAGTTCCCGTGGGAGTTTCCTAGCAGGCCCCTGGGAAACTGCTGAGTCCTGCACAGCTGAACCTCACCCTTACGGTAAAAGTTGTGTCCTGCCCAGGGAGCCATCAGAAGTGCCACCATCATCATCGTCCCAGAGCTTTAGGTGATCTTTCAGATACGCTGAGCCCAGACCCTTGAACGCCTTAAAGAGCAAAAACCTTGAACCCTTCTGCACCGATTTCCCAGGGGTTTGGGCTTTTGCTTGGTCATTTCCTCCCCAAATCACATCCTGATAGCAGCCTGTCTGTGCCCTCTTGCCCTCTGTGCCTGTTCTTGACCGCTCAACTGCTGAAGCTGCCCCTGTGCTCTCTAGTCCTTTCTCACTTCAGCCTTGTATCTGTGATGCTTTTCCTGGCACCCTTCCCAAGTTCTCTTGTTGCCAACTCAGACTCAGTATGAGCTTCTTGTATTCCCTTTCAAATCCTTTTCTGTCGCAGCAAATAAACCCACTGCTCTCTACAGACACACACACTCCTGATGCTATCCTTGACAGCTCTTCACTTCTGGCACTCAGCTGCCGCTTAATCACACAGATTCCTTCTCTGATTCACCTCATGTGCTCCTGCGGCCAAGAGCTTGACTTTGATTTGGCAATGTCACAACAGGAGGACTGGGATCTCCTCCCTGGTGATCCAATTCCTGCCTCGCATGCCCCACTGTCATTAGCAAGCTCCTGTTTCACTCTGCTCTTTGGGCCAGCCGCACGCCGCCGTCAGCGTGCGGAACCATTGCCTCACCTCTGCCCTTCTGCACAAACCACCAGTACCCTTCTCCTTTACGCTTTTCCTGATTTTATCATTTCCATGCTGCTTTGGAGCACTTCTATCCTACTGCTGTCCCAGAACGACCTGCCTGACCTTGACTCCCAGGCAGCCCTCATGTTCAGGTCCCTTCTCCAAACATCCTTCCACAGAGGCTGCTCCCCCCCGTCCCCCCAGCCTCGTCTCTGTGACATTTGCAAAGGGGAGGGCGAGGGGGAGGTGAGCAGAGCAAACCAAACACATCTAGCAAGTGATACAGCTTGAAAACAGGAACTAACACGATGTGCACGCAGCACCAGAAATAACCTCGCTGCCATACGCAGCGAGAGCCCTGTCCTTCCCTTGACCCCTCCCTCTGCACGTCTCCTGCCAGCTCTCCTCCTCGTGTCAGCCTCTGCCGCGGGTCCCAGCGCAGGGACCCCTCCTGCTCCTCCGCAAAGCCCCCGCGCACCTACGGCACCGCAGGGCTGAGCGATACGCGCCTGAGCTCGGCTCTGCCTGAGCAAAACAACTGGAACTGCCAGCAGCTTCTGCCAGCAGCTTCCCAGAGGAGTTGTTTACAGACAGCGCTGCAAAACCGCTTCCCTGCACTGGTCTTTGCATTGAACAAATGAAAGGCCAGCCTAAAACAAGAGGGCCCGTACAGAAGTAGGATTTCTTTTTTTACCCAGGAAATGCTGCAGGCGCCGGCACACCTATTCACCCTCACCCACACCCCAGCCGGGCCTGCTTTGTGCGAAGAGGGTGTTCGTGCTTATCAGCCTTCTTCCCTAGCTGCCCACTGGCACGGACTTTGCTCCTCCGGGTTGGGATTTCTGAGCAGCGGGAGGCTTTCCACGTGTGTTTGAGAAGGTACAAAGCCTGCCGGAAAACAATGGAAATAGCTGGCTTATGACTGCTGCGTGTCACGCACTCATTTCTTGCCCGTTCGTTTGTCCTTGGAGCTGCTCACGCCGCCTGGAACCTGATCTGGAAGCGTTGTCGGGCTCGCGGGCTGTCACGCACGCCCGCCTGCCGCCATGCCACGGGGGCACACACCCCCCCTCAGCCCGACAGAGCCTCCAGCCACCCCTCAAGTGCAGAGCGGGGTGCAGGGGCCACCATGGTGTGGGGATTTGGGGGAGCAGGGTGTCTGCCTGCAGCAGGGGGGAAATAGTCCCTTCAGAGCGGAGCGGGGTGGGAGCAGCGTCTCCCGTCTGGGCTTCCCTCAGGGCCTCCAGCCCAGGGCCGTCAGGGCTGGCAGCAGCATGGCCCCTGCCAGGATCTCCTCACCTCCACTGTCCCCCCCTCAACCCCCCAAGGGCAGGATCCCCTCGGCCACAGAGTCACAGAGTGGTTTGGGCTGGAAGGGACCTTAAGGATCATCTAATTCCAACCCTTGTGGGTTTTGGGGTTTGTGAAGCATGTGAACAGTGCCCCAAGCCAGGCTCCCCTCAGCCCTCCCAAGGGCAGGATCTCCTCAGCATCCCCAGGACAGGCTTCTCCTCAGTCACAGCATCACAGAATGGTTTGGGTTGGAAGGCACCTTCAAGATCATCTAGTTCCGAGCCTCATGTTTTTACATGCTCGCATTAAAAAGAAGTCCCCTCAAGGACTGGCTCGTCTCAGCCCCACATGAGCAGGATTTCCTCCGTCTCAGCATCACAGACGGGTTTGGGTTGGGAGGAACCTTCAAGACCATCCAGTTCCAACCCCCATGTTTGTGTAAAACGAGTCTCCCCAAGTCAGGCTCCCTCAGTTGAAGAAATCGCAGAATAGTTTGGGTTGGGACCTTAAAGGTTTAATTCCAACAACCCCCATGGTTTTTTTTTTTACGTGCTTGGATTAAAATAAAGTCCCCTCAAGGACAGGCCCACCAAGGACAGCCTTCCCTCAGTCACAGAATGCTTTGGGTTGGAAAGGACCTTAAAGACTTCGTTCCAACCTCCATGTTTTTCACATACTCGCGTAAAACAACAACAAAAGTCCCCTCAAAGCCGGGGCCGCTCTCCCTGCAACACCCCAAGGACAGGCCCCCTCGGACAGGCTTCCCTCGCTCGCAGAATGCTTTGGCTTGGAAGGGACCTTCAAGATTTATTTCCAACCTCCACGTTTTTTGGGGTTTTTTTGGGTTTTTTTTACATAACTGAATAAAAGCAAAGGAAAAGTCGCCTCAAGGACAGGCTGCCAGGACAGGGTCCCCCGCGGCGGGCGCGGCAATGGCGCGGGGCCGCTCCCTCCCTCCGTTCCTCCCTCCCCGGGCCGCTGCGTGCCGGCGCCT